AATTATCAGGCACATGGAAATTTGAGCGTGGTCTTGAGAAAACACTCGAAACGAAAGGTGATTTCAAGAGTTATGCTCACTTACCCAAATACATCCCAAAGATTTGTCGTCCTGTCGTATCTGAGTGGTGTTGAACTGCGAGGTACAGCGCATGTTTATTAATCCAGCAGCATCTATCAGCTGGCAAGGAATTCAATGTTTTTAGCCGGGAAGCCCAGCTAAAAGTAAGGCCGTACTAGGAATGACCGACGTCTTAGTATCTAACCGTATGCTACTCTCAAAGTGGCAAATTGGTCCACGAAGGCTGGCGACTGCCAGATGTGGTGACGATCTGAAAATCTCCGGCTGGCGCACACTCGGACTTCAGGAAACGAAAGGAGCTAATCCGGCACAGTTTGTGCCTTGAAACCCGCATACTGATACTCCGTCCACGAGGTCAGGTGGTGATAAGACCGATGAGATGCGATCAAATTTTGAGTCTAAACGGATCTCAATGGTAACGAGTAAAACGAACAGCTCAGCGACTCGCCGGAGACTGCCTCTTAGTTTGCATTTTAAGCACCAGAACAGTCTCCTTCGATATCGACCTATACGCTCTTTTCAAAGCTGTTGGTCACATCACACTTCATTTTATAACCCTACAAAGGACGTAAGCAGAAAGACAGGATTTTGAAAATCACGCGAAGAAAATCCCGCAAATCGTGGAGAGAAGTTCCCGCTCCAAAATGTCGCACTTCGTCGTGCCCTCATTGAACTTTCAATTAGATAGTTCGTTAGAAATAGTGTCATCATTCTTGGCTATTCTTCTTCTCCAACTGCCGTGTCAAAAGAAGGTCATTTACTAAACAGTTACTTAACAACTTGTACGGCTGATGAGGGTGAATTGAACGCGTTCCAAAGAAGAGTTGATGAATGAAAAACGTTCTTTAAAACTCCTACCTGCAACACGTCTTTACCACGCAAATTCTTTTTTCAAGAAGAGGGAAAATGGGTGGTAGACATGGAACTCTCAACGACACTATGCATGTGGAAATCGATCATATACTTACCAACAAGATCTAGTGCTTCTTTGACACTTCAGTAGTACCAGAATTCTGCACTGAATCCGATCACTACCTCTCTCGATTTAGGTTTGACTGAGCTATAACCTGACAAGTGATGTCATCGCTCAAGAAAAGCAAACAAGTCGCTCACGATGAGGATGTTCTCGATACAATTCTGTACTCGTATGATTGTGAGATGATAGGAGATTCAACCGAAAGCTACGAGCTCCTTACCGATAAACTTACAACCTTCGCCAAACTCAAATCAATCCTCCAAACGAAGGGTTTAGATTATAATTCTAATGCCACTAAAAAGTTAGTCGAAAAGCGAAGAATACTAAAACTCGGTTTCTCTGCATACTTATCTAGACTGATAATGAATGCCAGCTAGAAGAGTTTTGCATGAGGATTTGGCAAAAGAGCTATCAGAAGCAGCATAAGAACAATTTAGTCTGAAGAAATGCTTTTAAACTTTTGCTAATGTTATGTTTTGCTATCCGCCCTACTGAATGAGGATTGGATCATTACTACATCCTACCATGATATGGAATTGATAACAGATAATTGCTACACTAGTCTTTTCTTCCTTTAACTTCGTCTCTGTTCCATAATCTCCACTGGTAAGGGGCACCACCCACGATTTTTGCCTTCTAACTTTGAATTGTAATAGGATGCATGAAAAGTGCAACGCCAAGACATAGCAATACTACCGACTTTCTGAGAGCTGGAGGTTATTGCATTGTGCTTCTCGCACCGTATATGACATCTTATCTTCGAAGATTAAAATTTTGGGGAGAAACGTCACGCTCTGTTGCCCTACCCGAGAAATCACAAAGAAGTTTTGTAAGTACCGTTTAGAGTGCTTCTTGGATGTACTCTACAGATTGTTCACGAAGGCGAATCTTTCGCACATATCGCAGGTAGTGGATCTGACAAACCAGTTGATCAGGTAGGATTCTGACAAGGATCCTGCTGCAGTAATCACATCAGAATCGTGTTACGGATCATAGAATTTCATTGGGGAGTATTATGTGTCCCTAATTCAAAATTTATCGATTATGAGAAAGCATTCGACAACGTCAAAACGGATTAAATCCTAGTAGTGCCCGTTGACCGAGGCGTAAAGTTGTCCTATGCACAAATATTGGCCACTGCTATAGAATGCAGCGCGAAAATTCAGCTTTTACATTAATTTCTCACAATCTCTTTAGAGAAGGGCTTCGACAAGGCGATACAATATCGCTAAAGCACTACACGGAGAAGTCGCCCGATTGAGACGGAAAGGCACACGTGTTGGTGAAAAAATCCTGTCATAGTTCGTCTTCTTGATGACACTGTTACCTTTTCGAGGAGTACTAGTGAAGCAAAAAAGATGCTCATTAAACAGATAGAACGGTAAAGCGGTGGACTACGCGCAAACAGAACGAAGACACAGTCTATGAAAAGTCCATGGTGCAAGGGTAAGCAAATCAAAGTGGATAGTTGTCGGATCACGATGACGTTAAAAAAACTTGCGCATCACTCAAAAGCACTCGATCGCAATCTTCTAAATCTAGTCATTAACTAGAATATCTCAGTTTGAGCAGCTCAAATATTCCAAGACTATTCCGTCTGCAAGATCCAAAAATGCATACATCGGTAGTGAAACACAATTGTGCATGTTTCATAATAAGGTCAGATGATAGATGAACGAAAAATAGAATGGAATGAACTCTAGGGGAATGCGAGTTTCCTTTTGGACAGTCACCCCTATGATGGGAGGACGTATTTATGGTTAAAGTCAGCCATCTGCATCTGCAGATGGAGATGGGTTTCATACTGAAAAAGCCATGCGTACGAACTCTATTCGAAGCAGACTAAACCAAAGATAATTGCGTCAGAGAAAAGCGAATGTATTCAGGAGACGGCGCCATCAGTGATGACGCGCCATCTCAGTATTCACAAGGGTGTCGGAATGGCCCATATTTAGAGGAAATCGTCCAACCACTATTTCCAATCAATTCTCTCTTGCACAGTTACTGTTCACAGTATTAGCCTGCTTTGAAAATAGTGACGACCACAAGAATCATTGCGTTTTTATACAATGCTTCTTTCTGTAAATGTTAGTGGTTGAATTTAACTGCAAACACACCCGTCCATCGTTTGATGGTCGTCCAAAAAATCTTTTGCTTTTTCTTGAAGTTCACTCCATTCTTCTTATGCTTATCATCTGCTGTTTCCACTGAGTGAAGTAATTGATGTACCATGGAAAGCCTTTGGAAGAGAATCAGTGTGTGATGAGAATAGTGAAAAACTCATTTTTTTCATTCTTCATGCATATAAGTGAAAAGTCTTTCGGCTCCCTCTTTGAGCAATCTTAGTAGTTTCACAGACACTTATATTTCTTCTTGAACCACGATACCTCCAGAGTCAATGCCTGGTATATTAGCATAGTAATTACGGGTTTCGAAATCTCAAAGCTATTATATTGGTCATGTGATGTTTTATTGTATTCATTCCTGCAATTAGTGCAAAACGCGGGAAGAGAAGCCTCTGCCGAAAATATTCATTAATGCTCCAACGAATACACAACATCTGTCAAGTTATTCTACTGTGTAGTATACATTTAGGAGAAACGCGGAAATTAGTGATAAAAACTAGCTCTCGTTTTTGTCCGTCCTTTCAGTGAAAAACATCTTGGAAAAAGAAGTTATTTGCAGTCAATGGAGATATGAATAAAGTACCACACTGTATAATTATCGGTGGCACAGTGACCGGCACATGCCGTGTAGAAAACGCACGCGTTGACTGCGGGATGATAGGCACGCCCATGAAAACCGCAGCTATTTCCACCAACTATACGATGTTCTCAGGAACTCTCACGGTTTGAAGGTCTTTCTTCACTATACAAATTCGTTTTAGAAAGAATATGTTTAGACCACGAACATCATCATGGCGAATTGGTCAAGAGAGATGTGGCAAAGAGTAGTCAATAGAGCGATTCGAATGTTGGCATCGGCGTCCATTTGCATCAAACTTCTTCTCCGCATCTGTAACTGTCACCTAAAACATGAGTTCCATTGTGAAGTATTGAAATAAATCATGCATTGCGTGATTGTTCTAATTTGATTTTGAAAAGGCTCTGAAATATTAAGCCACAAATTATTGATTTGTATAAGGGATCAAAGTTCTATACAATGACATTGTCCAAATGCTCCTGCTAATTGGTTGAAAATTTTGCGTAAAATCACAACGGAAAGTTTTTCAACATTTACAAATGGAAAAGATGTTCGTTCCATATGAAATTTTTTTGGAACAAAGCACGTTTATCGTGAAATGTTCCTTTTCAACCCTTTCAGCACCACCAGTTGCCACCGGCACGCGTGGCGCTTATCGCAGCCGATGAGCGTTAATGTAATTGGCTTAGAGTTTTTTTTTTTACCGTTTTGAAAATAAGTCTAGAGCTTCTTGTAGTACTACACGATCTTTCTAGACACTCGCATGCTTTAGGTGTAGATATAACATTTACGGCTGCATAAAAAGCTCTCTTTTACGAGCAAACGCAATGTGATGCATTCTTTCAATTAAAATTGCTCGTACAAAGAAAATTAATTTTTAGAAATTCCATCAGTTATGATATATTTACTTTGTACAGCACTTAAAAGTTACAACAGTTCTTGGAAATTGGAAAACAATAAATCGTCCTGCCAATGTCCACACCTATATTCAAAAAAAAAAAATCTTTTCATTCTGACGCAAACGTTTTTTGCACAGTACTCCACATATCGGGTATACTATAAGATCATGCCACTGCAAGTGGCAGTCAAAATAGAAAGAATTTAGACTGATTATCGATATACAATGTCTGTCAACACAAGTGGGTTCAATGCCGATAGCGGCTGCCCCGCCAGACCGTCGACGGTTGGCTGTTGGCAAACAACGCGTTATAGCGTAAATAATAGTGCCGTGCAACAGCGAGCGTCGGTAGTGCAAACGGTTAGCATACGCTCCCGGAAAGTGTGAGATCTGAGTTCGAATCCCGGCTGACGCAAACGCTTTTGCACAGTACTCCACATATTGGGTATACTATAAGATCAATCACTGCAAGTGGCAGTCAAAATAGAAAGGATTTAGACTCAATCTTTTCATTCTTTTTTGACGTCTTGGTAATCATTCCATAGTCTCGAGAATCAAAACGGTGTCATTTATTTTTTGTTAGTGGAAATTTTTCTCGCAGAGTTTACATCAATAGAGAATGCACAGATGGGCCGGTCATAAGTAAGAAGATCAGACGACAGATGGACAAAACGAACTATAGTGTGGACTCTACGTGGTTACACCCGACGTCGAGGACGACTATTCACGCGTTTGGTGCACGTGTTTGTAAAAAGGATTAGTTATTTGTATTCGCAGCAGCCGACATTTTACGGATCATCTTACGAAATTCGGGTTAACAGCCATGTTCGAATCAGTTCACCACTAAGGACGACAATAGCCAGAAGAAAAGACAAATAGAAAATGTGCTGGGTCCGCACAACTCGTGAAAACGGACCGTCCAAGTATTCAAGTAAGTAAGTGTATTTTTTTCATGGTTTTGTATATATTATTTTATTATATGCAATGCTTGAAAGGTATAATAGTAACTGAGAATATTGTATACAATACTTAAATAATAGTATCTGAAAATTAGAAAACAATGAAGAATTGTTGGCATTTTTCTCCTATCCGCACTCATATTCAGAAAAAAACTTTTCTTGACGTTTTAGTAGTCATTCTATTGTCTCGAGAATTTGAACGGTGTATTTACTATTCTAATTTCCACGGACCTCCCTCTTTGAGGGATCCCACCCGGTTAGTCGCGAGGGCACGTGGCGCGTCCCCAGGTGGTGGATAGGGGAATAAAACGCGAACCAAAAGCGACCGTGTGCTTCCCAGAGACGCAGGTGGATTCAGGGGAGAGCTCCCTGCTTCTGCAGCGCCGACTTGACAAAACTCTATTTCTACGAGTCAAGTCGGCCAAAAGCCTGCAATCAAGCGGCTGGGAAGTACATGGGAGGCGGTTAGGAGTCGCCTCCAACAAATAAGCTCCTCCCGCTCCTCCGAGAGAGACTGGCAAGCTACTCGTGAGTACCCAGCCCCACGTTTAGAGCCTGGCAAGCTATACGTTGGGTATCAAATTGCCAAAAACAGTAACAAATATGGGCCTCATTCCCCTGACCCCGAAAGAGCCCCTGGTACGGCAGCGCCAGGTAGGACGAGTACGGAGAGGCTGCTAAAATCTCAGGGCCGAACTAGGCTGCCAAGATCGAAACGGACTAAAATGACGATCTGTACCTACAACGCAAGAACCCTTGCTCACAATCCGCTGTAGAAGATCTATTGATTCAAGCAAGAAGAATAAGGTACGACGTCATTGGCCTGGCTGAGACGAGAAGGCGCCATCCTTTTCACGCTGTTTATGACACCGGAGAAGAACTGTTCCTTGGTACATGCGATCGCAGAGGTGTCGGCGGCGTTGGCGTCCTCGTCAATCGAATTTGACCGTGAGCATTGATTCGTTTGAACAACTAACAACCCGTATCGGACGATTACGGTTGAAACGATGTGGTTCTATGCCGGCTTTGACCATCTTCGTTGCTTACGCACCAACATCAAGCTATGACGAAGACGAAGTCGAAGCGTTCTATATGGACCTCGAAAAATTCTTCAGAGAAAGATCATACATTCTTCAAGGTCATTGTCGGAGATTTTAACGCAAAAATTGGACCTAGAAGAACGTCTGAAGAACGTCACATAGGGACCCACGGACTAGAATGGAATGAACAGGGTGAGAGGCTATCTGAGTTTATCATGACGACCCAAACCATCCATGGTAACTCGCAATTTCCAAAAGCCTCGTTCTCAGCGATGGACGTGGGAGTCTCCCAATGGAGAGTACCATAACGAAATAGATCACATCTTAGTAATCGAAGGTTTTGCCTGACCGATGTCGCTGTTGTTCCTAAGTTCTACACGGGATCAGACCATCGCCTCCTTCGCGCAACGTTCCGTTTTCGAGGAGAGGAGAGAAAGCCGCTAAATTCAAACAACGAAGTCCCAGAACTACCATAAACTGGGATGTATTCAAATCATTAGTCGGCTCTTGGGAAGATACCGTTGTCGACAACATCGACGAAGAATACGATCGACTCGTTGAATATCTTCACGTTAGCGCTATGAAAGCCGAGAGTCCTAAGGTCACGAAGAGACGCTTGTCTCCGCAGACACTCGAGCTGATACGTCAACGTGGAATCGCACGAGCTACAGGCAACCGAAACCTTACGTCCGAACTTGCGAAACGCTGCAGAGAAGCGATAAAAGAAGACCTCAAAGAGAGAAGAGCAGCAGTTATGGCAGAAGCTGCAGAAGCTGGGAAGAGCATTCGCAAAGCCCAGCGAGGCTTCGCCAACTATAAGACCAAGATGATTGCACTCCGATACCCTGACGGGACACTTACAGCTTCGAGAAGGGCTATGGAGAAAATCATCCACCAATACTACTCGGATCTCTTCGCTAGCCATGTCCTCTTACCGTCATATAAATTGAAAGAGGACGAATATGTCGTTCCACCGGTCCTCCCTTCCGAAATCCGACATGCTATATCGTCGGTGAAGAACAGAACAACACCGGTCCAGACAGGATTAGACCAGAACACCTGAAGAACCTGCCGCCAGTTCTCATCAACACCCTGGCTCGGCTCTTCACTCGCTACCTGTCAGAATGCAAGGTCCCTATTCAATGGAAAACCAGCAAGACCGTATTGTTGTTCAAAAAGGGAGACCTTCACGACATAGGCAATTATCGCCCAATCTGCTTGCTGTCCGTTGTCTATAAACTCTTTACTCGAGTCATCCTAAACAGGATTGACAGAACACTGGACGAAGGACAGCCATGCGAACAAGCAGGGTTCCGAAAAGGATTTAGTACCATAGACCACATCCACACGATTACAAGACTCACTGAAGTTTCACGAGAGTACAAGCAACCACTCTGTCTCACTTTCATCGATCTGAAGAAAGCCTTTGATTCAGTGGAAACAGAAGCGGTTATAGAGGCTCTGGATAACCAGGGCGTCCCTACTCGGTACATAATGATCCTTCGTGAGCTTTATAAAGATTTCACGACCAAATATTTCCATTCTACAACAATATCACCATTGACGTAAGAAGAGGGGTTTCGACAAGGCGATACAATTTCGCCAAAACTATTCACTGCCACCCTACAAAACGTCATGCGAACATTAGAATGGGACGAAATGGGAGTGAAAATTGACGGTCGACAATTAAACCATCTTCGCTTTGCTGACGATATCGTTCTCATAACACCAAACATCAGTCAAGCGGAACGAATGTTGACCGATTTCGATAACGCCTGTGGAAAGATTGGTCTTCAACTAAATCTAACGAAAACGATGTTCATGAGGAACGGATGGGTTTCGAATGCCCCATTCACGCTCAACGGAACGACAATCTCCGAATGCTCCAGTTACGTCTATCTAGGTCGTGAAATCAACATGATGAACGACCTAGCTCCAGAGTTGAGCAGGAGGAAACGAGCGGCTTGGGGAACGTTTAAGAGCATCGAAGATGTAGTGAAGAGGACAAAGAACATCCGACTCCGTGCCCACCTTTTCGACTCGACAATTATCCCTGCCCTAACGTATGCAGCAGAAACCTGGTCGCTACGTAAGCAGGATGAAAGATCACTTGCGTTATCGAACGCGCAGTCGAAAGGTCGATGCTAGGAGTATCCCGTATTTCGCAAATGAGAGAAAGGATCCGAAGTTCCGACCTACGTCAACGATCGAAAATCAGAGACGCCGTTCTACACGCCAGGATATCGAAAATAAGGTGGGCCGGACACGTGATGCGCTTCAACGACAACCGATGGACGAGAGCCGTTACCGACTGGATTCCTCGGACGTCAAGCGCTCTAAAGGAAGACCACTGACCCGTTGGTCCGATTTCTTCACGAAAGCGATAGAAGAAAGATATGATGCTCAGCGAATCTCTAGAGCGAGGAGGACCCACTGGGCTACTCTTGCACGCGATAGGAAAAATGGAAGAGTTGCTGGTACCCGCTCGAGTCACTCGACGATCAACGGACGACAGGTGACAGGTGATTTATTTTCTAAATAGCTTTTTATACTATGCCGTTACAGTAATAAATAAAGCATTATTTCACACTCAAGCGTATTTCGCTGAGTACAGCTTCTCTTTTGAACTTCCAATAATCATTCAGTAGCACATGTCTCAACAATTTCAATGATGTGCTTAGCTTTTTAAAGCTCTTTAGTGCGTTGTTACGGCCGAAAAAATTGAGTTTCGCACTCGCAGCCGTGTCATTCGCGTAGTGCAATTCACTTGTGGCGTGCGATGCGCGCCGAGTGCGAAACCCCAATATTCTTTCAGCTGTAACACGCATTAAGAAGTTCTTTTTGAATAACTAGCATAGTTTGAAATTGGTGAGACTTATCTATCAAATTGTACCAAAACTCTGAATGAAAAGCTGCGTCCAGCAAAAAGTACTTGAAAATGCAGCACAATTCTATTTTTATTGCTACATCGCGCTTAAGAATTTCTCTATTGAAAAACAAGCGCACCATTGAAATCTTCGATATTCTAAGTTATGAACTGGTGTTGAATGTTATTGGTTTGATGCCAATGTTGCGAAACCCATTCACATATCGGTGCAGGACATGCACGCCGCATGTGAAATACAATCCTAATTTTAGTGCTGTAGAGTAATGAGAAGTTTTTTGGAAAATCAAGAATCACTGTTAAATTTTTCGAGACTTGTACTATCGAATAACTACTGAATTTTTTGAGGAAGAGCATTGCTTAGCGAAAAATGCTGGAGTGTGGAATAAAATGCTCAATTTCACTGTTACAACGTAGTATAACGACGATTCAAAAATAATGTAGACCGTTGAAAATTACTTCAAAATTTAGACTATCGGATGACTATTAAAAAATCTGAAGCGAGCAGAAATGTTTTTTTTTTGAAGAAGGG